TTCAGGTCAGTATGCCATATTACTTTTAATTACTTAAATTTGTATAATTATTTTATTAATGAATATATATCTAACAATCTAATTAAAAAAAAACGTTTGAAACGTATGAAAACCAATTAATTTGTATCATTTGATTCATAAGGATTAAGAATCTACTAAAATTACAATGACGGACAGAACGCAAGCATATTTGCAGTCTATCCCTTGGTAGTGAAGGCACATAGAACTGCAGCGTAAACATACACATTTTTTTTCAGCCGTTCCTACATTTACAGTTATTAAAATTATTTAAAAGATTTTAATTCGCTATCAATGTAATCACCATCAGATACTTGTCATGCATGAATACATGCTTCTTAAACTCCTTAAGCGCTGCCGATACTAGTGGTATTAATAAGAAAAAGGCTATTAACAGGAGGCTGTCCCAAATCTTCATACACCTTTTTTTAAATAAAAAATTATATTTTCAATGGATGGTATGCCTAAAACGGAGTACATGCTAATACTACAAGTATATCCTTCGCACGTGGAGTATCTACAATAGCAATCTAGCATTTACTTCATTCAAGTAGTATTTCTTATGTATCTTAAACATAGAAGAAGGTACTTTGCCTTTAGAAGTATCTACTCCATAGGTACATAGCATATCCTATAAATGGGATGCTTAGTAGTATTTACTTCAGTTTAAATGAAGTTGGTTTATGAGGAACTTCGGTGGCTGCAAATTAGTAATAATTCAAGGAAATTGTTGCTTCTATGAATGTGGGTTGTAGGAACTTGTACAGAAGAGGATACAATACCGGTAATGAAATACCCGGTTATATTTATAATTATGTATTCAAGGTTTAACAAGGAAAATGTTTTAATACGTAAGATTGCGACTTGTGCAAAAGTATATGTTTTGGCCATATTACTTGAATTATCATCCACCTTCAATTAATAACATAATACTTATGTGCTTTCGTAGATGAGATTCTCTTAGTTTTGAAAAGATATAGCGAGCGGCCATGTTTTTTTAAATTGTAACTTTATCACGTCGGATTTTTTTGGGATTTTAGATTTGCATTCTATGATGAGAGCCTGTCGTTCTAAACAAAACAATGTGGGCAAAAACTTCACATTTAATGTACTTTTTTTTTAATTTGCATGATTTGAACCGTAATACCATTGAGATATAAAAATATGCTATGGCAATGCTTTAAGTGTCCGCTTCATTTAATTGATATAAAATCATTTTCATTCCGTCAGTCTTCAAAAATAAAATTATTGACTTCAAAGAAATAAAAGTATTATTTAAGGGGCGTTTGATTTGAAACTCGATCGAGCGAGCGTCGAGGAGACCGAGAAGTGATGACGTCACAATAGAGCATTGAATCAAATCAAATAAAACAGAGTAAAAAACATAACCTCGTTTTTTTGTGATTCTTGTTTCTGGTTTGTATGTTAAAATAGTGAGCAAAAAGTAAAGAAAATGGAAAAACTTTTAATAATAAGGGGTAATGGCCCTGAAATGCAGCATTTACCACAAATGCCCGCTTCGCTCTCCTACTGTGATTACTGGTGATTACTGGTGATTAGATCTGGACAGAAAAAATGTATTTTCCAAACACACATTTTGTGTTTTTTTATGATGAATAATTTTAGCTATAAGACAAAAGCGGCTAAGTAATTTGTTGAGTTCTTGTCTGGTCTTTTATTTTGAGATTCAAATTTGTTTGTAAGTTAATTAAAAAGAGATAGGTAGAGACAAAGACAAATTTCTCCCTCTTCTCGATCTTTCTGCTCTGAGAACATCGAGCTCGCTCTATGTTCTCGCTCCAAAGCGAAACAAACACTTTAGGGATCTCTCGGAGTGTCAATTCAAACACTTTTGAAGCGCTCGGAGATCTCCGATGATCAAATCAAACGCACCATTAAGTTGCCATTTTCATTACACTTTTTCGTCACTTGAAGGGTGTCCATCTGTCATATGGCAAAACAGTGTTTATGTATTCACGGGAATTATGGTTTTCGCGTGTGTTGAAAGAGACCTATTATCTGACATACTTACTGTTTTTTCTTTAAGAGTAAACCAGATCTCTCGCGAAAAGAAAAATGTAACGATTTTCTAATATAAAATTGTATTTTTCTACAATCACTATCCAAAGTAGGCTTTTGCGCTTCGAAATCCAACCGCAAAATTGACGTTTTCCGCGAAATATTAAGTGACAGCTTTGTTGTTCGCCTAGCGAAAAACTTGACAGCTTTGTTGCTCGCCTAATTTAAATTACATATAATATAATACACACATCTTCAAAAGTCTTGATCCCCTTGGTAATTTTTACTACAGTCAATATTAGGTGACTATTTTTTGTGTATACATTCTTCTGTATCTTATCATACATAAACACAACATGTTATAAACAAAATATTATTTCTGTCCGAAAATATGCACCATTTGAAAAGAAATCAGTTCTAAGCTGACATCGAGTATTAAAGTATTAATTGGTCATAAAATGCCAGGTCATCCGATTTCTCAGTTTGTCCGGGCAAGAATATAGTAGCCTTACATCAAGAGGATTTGTCAAATCACCAGATTCCGGGTTACCTGAATATTTCCCGATCTTTGGTAAGGCGCATAGTGGCCTTCTTCCAGAAAAGGGGCAGTGTTCTACGAAGAACGGTGACTGGTCGACCCAAAGTTACATTAGAGAGGGAAGACCGGTATAAGGTAAATTTTACTCGAAGGAACCGAAGTAGTAACGGTAACAGCCCCTCGAAGTCATTTTTTGCGAAAGTACCGGAGGGTAGTTTCGAGAAGTACCATAAGAAAAAGATTGCATTCCTCAAATCTAAGGACAAGAAGACCTTTAAGACTGCCTAGGTTCTTACCCCACACAGAGCTACACGTCGCCAATGGGCTCAAGCGCACAGGAACTGGTTTTTTATCACAATGGCGCAACGTGCTTTTTACGGACGAGTCAGGATTTGAGTTACAGAGTGATAGCCGGCGGGAAAGGGCCTGGAGGGGCCCAGACAGACAGGAATGGCTTACTTTGGCAAGAGGTGTTATTTCCTATCAAGGCAGATCAGTGGTGTTTTAGGAGGTATAATGTTTGATCATCGCATCCCATTTATTTTGATTGAGAGAACTATCGAAGGTTCCATACAGGCTGAAAACATTATTCAACCAATCATTCAGCCTTTGAGCAACGAATTTGGAAACAATTTTATTTTTCAAGACGAAAATGCCAGACCGCATCGTATACAAAGGATACAAAACATGCTGCAGGAAGGAAATATCCATTTAATTAACTGGTCGTCAAACTCGCCAGACATGAATTCCATTGACTATGTATGGGATTATCTTGGCAGACCAATATCCAATCGAAAAAATCCCACTTTAAGCCTCCAGGACTTGACTGTAGCAGTTCAAGAAGAGTGGGACAATATGTCTGATCATTTTATTGATAAACGGATCCGCGGGATGCCGCGATGCGTTGGCCAATTGATTGAAAGGAGGGGCGATAATACAGGCTATTAAGTTGTTTTTGTTACGATATAACATTTTTTCACAAAAATAAAATTTTCTTATTTACACTTTTTGGACATTTTTTGTAATTTCCTTTATTCTGCATTATTCGGAAAGCAAATTACGAAGGTTGTGTATCACATAGTTTGGTATTAAAACAAAGAATAAGATTCGCTATATTTTCAAAATTCAATTTGATTATTTTTAAAAATATCTTGGGGGCACAGACTTTTGAAAATGTGTATTTCTTATTAATAAATGATTTTCAAGTTATTTGTACGTAGTTATATGTTTTTTGTTTTATTATCTAAATTAACATTGACTCCGTTTTTCATGAAAAATATAGATATATGCAACACATTATACACCACTTACGACAAATTCTCAGTTTTTGTATCTATTTCTTAAGATAATGTGTTCGTAGAAAAAAATGTGTGCATTTTGAGCAAAAAGTTCGTTGTGACAGATTGCCGCGTTCAGCTACGCGTCGCTCGGCCAACTTTCTCTCTCAAGCAGCAAAGTATCTACACAAATAGCTATTGCATGCGCGCCACTGGAAAAACTTCGCGATGTTATGTGTTTCGAGAATATTGAGAATTTTAATTTTGTGCAACGATAAGGCAGCACTCAGAGACATTTAATAAAATAAGGTGGTAATCCTTCCAAATTAAAAACTACTATTTATTAAAACAAAAAACAGCAATTTTTTTTAAATTTAATACCTACAAATGTAAATGTTTTTTAATTCCTTTTAAAACTTATTAAAACAAATACTTTTTGAAGGTTTACTAAAAAATCAAGATTTATCGACCCTAAGTTTTGTTGTTATTGGTATTTTCTGAAATGTTCACAAAAATCGTGGTAAAAATAAAGGCTCTCAAGGAATTATAAATTTTCAAGGTGTTCGGTTTTCTCTCAACTGTATATAAATAAATTTATCTTCTAGCCCTGGTAAAATTCTACACGCATGCGCTCTAATTAAACAGTTTCATCTTTGACAACAAATATGCGATTAACGATTGTCCAAACTCATTTCGTGATTGAAAAAAACGTTTATAGAGATTAAATCATATCATGAAATCTATAGAGAATTTTATTATTAATTGAATTATTGTTAATTTAACAATAAAAATTAAAAAGCTAATCGGCGTCATATTAGCACAGACTTACGGTGTCGGCGTCGCGCAACAGTGAAAAATAAACTTTTTGGATGACGTAAGTCTTTCACTACTTCGCATTGTTAGACAAATAGGAGTAGTGTTCTTTAACCATAACAAAACGTAAGTTTTTTTTAAAAAAATTCATAATTTTGTATCGTTTGCAAGCAGATTTATTAACATTAGGTGCAACTTTTATATTATCGATATAAATTTTCTAGTTTTGGTTGGCTTGGACGAAAATATGTCAACATAACCCTTATTTAAACAGTTACTTTACGTTTTCCCTGGAAATCATCTGTAATTTATAAAATTGTACACATCTTTTTCAGATGGGTGATACTAGTGACTTGGATAGACAAATAGAACAACTTAAAAGGTGTGAAATTATCAAAGAAAGTGAAGTAAAAGCGCTATGTGCTAAAGCAAGGGAAATACTAGTAGAAGAAAGCAACGTTCAAAGGGTTGATTCACCAGTCACAGTAAGTTAATTTTAGGAAATGTAATAACATTGTTTACATACATTTGTTTTAGGTTTGTGGTGATATTCATGGCCAGTTTTACGACTTAAAAGAACTGTTTAAAGTAGGAGGAGATGTCCCTGAAACAAACTATTTATTTATGGGTGATTTTGTAGATAGAGGGTTCTATAGTGTTGAAACTTTTTTGTTACTATTAGCTCTTAAGGTAAGAAGTAAGAAAACATTTAAATGCAGTTATAAAACATGTTTTACCTTGTTGATTTACACTTATTGTATTGTTATAGGTTAGGTATCCAGATCGTATAACGCTTATAAGAGGCAATCATGAATCTCGTCAAATTACACAAGTATACGGCTTTTATGATGAGTGTCTGAGGAAATATGGTTCAATCACAGTATGGAGATATTGCACGGAAATTTTTGACTACCTGTCTCTATCTGCAATTATTGATGGGAAAATATTTTGTGTTCATGGTGGACTTTCACCTTCCATACATACTTTAGATCAAATTAGGGTAATTGATAGGAAACAAGAAGTTCCTCATGATGGACCTATGTGTGACTTGCTTTGGAGTGACCCAGAAGGTTAGTATTATTTTAAATATAGGTATAATAACCAGTACTTAAGGTAAAAGCTCTACTATTCGTTTGGACGTATCTAATTTATGTGAAATCTATAAGCTCACATGAAAGGCTGGTATGTTTAGGATTTCATAAAAATATTGAATTCTGATCCTAAAAGAATGTTAAAATTTTTAGGAAGATTTACAGCGGGTTGCAAGAACGATTGTTAAAATCTCTCGTTAGCTAAATAACAAATAACTAACTGAGATTAAAACTGACAACGGCGCTTTTCCAACTGACAGTATGTCGCTTCACAGCTGATCACGGGAGATTTTTAAATTAATGAAGTTATTTTGGTAATATTTTTTCGAAAATTAATTACAAATAAAGTAAAAACTTAAATTGAGGCTCAACCTTTACAGCTATGGTTAAATGTTAACACTATCCCTATCTTTTTTCGACATCGGCTCATATTTTTAATAGACAAGCAAGGACAGTCGGTTCAGAGAAAAAATGTTCTACACATGAATATAATTTCTTAAAATAAATAGAATGGCTTAAATGAAGAAAAGGTTCCAATAAGTCACTGGAAAAAGAGGAAAATACTCATTTAACTGCCCTTCTAGTAGTGCTCGATTAAAAATCTGTTATTTGTGGTTTAAAGCAACAGTATTTAAATATAGTTTGTCCCTTTTATATAAACTAAAACTATTTTTCTTGTATTTACTTTACATTTTCTCTTCCTGTTTGTCACACCATGGAAAAGCACATTTCTTTCTACTGTACATTATTTTTTCAAATAGAAGTACATAATTAAAAATATGTTTAGTTTTTATCATGTGTGCAAACCCCATTTACTGTGGTAATATTTCCAATGTATTTTCTATTTTTAACAGACTTCAAAAAAGAAGTAAATTCTCAATTCATCGGAATATATTTTTTTATGGATATTTAGCGACAATTCTTTGCTATGTTGTCCGATTTCTGATTATTTTTTTGTTAGAAAGGGGGCTCCCCAGAGATGGTTTCATAATTAAATTTGGTAAAGATCTGATGATGGGATTCATGAGAAAATAATCGCTCTTCGTTTTTTGTAGTCGTCAGTTTTTTTAAATTAATTTTGTAACTTATACATTTTTCAATGAATCAAAGTAAAAAAACTGTTTAAATTGGGAAATTTGTAAAGTTCAGTATCCATTTTTTAGTTAGAAATGGAAAACTGGAGGAGAGATGGTAAAATCTCTGGTATGAGAAATAAATGTGACATGTGACCTATTCTTGAAAAACATATACAGTTCCTTTTTGAATCCCTTCAATTTGGATGCTATATTTCTTTGCTAATAAACTAATGCTAGAATTTATTTTTTATTTAAGAACAACTTTCAATTTGTACAATATTGGAATTTCTAGATTGTTGAGAAAATTAAATAATTATGATATGATAATTAGCTTTTATAGGTTGTGTAATAGTCGAAATTTAGAATATTAAATAATTGATACTATGTATAAATTACACTTATTTACCTTAATATATATGCTTTCACATTTGTAGGTCATAAATAAAACACCAAATTCATTTTAAAATTTTATTTTTTAGGATTAAATTAATACACACAAAATACATAACATAATAAAAAATATAATAAATCCACAATAAATAAAAATACATTTAATTTGCCCATCATTATTAAGAATTCTAATTCTAGAAAATAAACATTCAATCCAGGATTTCTTTTGGTTATGACAGGTTTCAAGTTGACTAGTAATTTTGTTAAAATTTACAGTTTGCCTAACGTATTGGATAGGTCTACTTAGCCAGTTCCACATATTTAATAAATGTATAAAAAGAAATGGATTATTTCAACATAGGTACAAACAATAAAAATGTTATTACTGATAGTAGTTTACTGCTAAATATTTACTTTTTCTGAAAATAGGCAGGAAAAAACTATAAAATAATATTAAATATGGTTGAGAATGTATTAATACATAACAATTATATGAATTAAAAAGTGTTTAACAATATAAGTAGAGATATCAAGCTCCACAGTTATATGGCTTAAAATTATTCATGCCATCATACTTAGCAAACACCTATATTACTACAAAGTAATGCCTATTTAAAAATAAAAATATATTGCTACAAGGCTATACCGCCGTCATAAACCAAACCCCTATAACTGACAAATTACAAATATTTGAGGTTATTTGACCATTGTGATACTAACCCATTTTTCTTTTTAAAAAGTAAACAAAATACCAGCAATGTTTATTCTGTATCCTAAAAAGTCAACTTGATTCTACAATGTAACTAACATTTTTATAGAGAATTCTTATCAAAAATCAACCCAAAACATTAAATCACACTTATTTATATAACTAGTTAAAAACATTATTCAAAACTTGTCTTTAATTCAACAAAAGCAGCTATATAGGTAACACATGTCCAAATACTGGCACTAATAAATTTCTTTTATTGCATATATCTCCATTCTATAGTTCGTGTAGTTACTGGGGCAGTATCGATATTTTAAAGTTTTATTTGTGAGCCAAGCCTGTCTTGTTTCAAGATTAGTGGTCCATACAACAATATTTTTAATTTTGTTGTTACAAAGTTTTCCTTTTTTAACTGTAGGGTTTTGCTTGAGAGTCTGTGCAGGGGTATCGGCAGAGTCCACTTGGGCCAGGGAAGGGTTTAGTAGATTCCTTGGGAGTGAAGAGACTACTAGGAGAAGCACCTAAGGAGACTCCACTGGAAAGAGGCATAATATCAATTATTGATTTGTTCACCTACAGAATAATAAATAAATATATATGATTCTAGAGCTCTTAAAAGTATGTTCCGAAATATAATGATATAACAAAATTTATATAGAGATTCAACGATGATATTTAGCTGCAGTTAACTAGGACTCGTGTAATTATTTATTGCAATACAAGAACCTAATTAGACCTACAGTTATACTTTAATAAAATGTGTAAAATTTCCCTTCAATTCCAAATTTGTCTTCATATTGCACTAATTTTCCTACCAACATACAAAGTATTTGTGATAATTATACAGGATGGTCCAAATTTGACATGTTTATAAGATATTACTAAATTAGCAGGGGATAAAGCACATTTATTTTGATGTCGCACCTTTTTTTAACTAAACATGTTATTTTAAATCCAGTTATAAATTCCTTCCCTGAGTAAAATGCAAGAGTGATTTTTAAAATATCATTATTTTGTTTGGGTGTTCAAATAAAAAATGGTGTTACCTCGAAAATTTGCACCCCTTGAAAAAATAATAAGTACGACAATGGATTTTACATATGTAACTATGTCAAATTATTAAATTGTTTTTCAAAATAAGATTTTTATTTGAGATAATAAATTATGATAAATTTAGAAAATCACCCTATAGTTTCTAAAAAGGATTTATAACATAACTAAGCATTCCATGTTTTGTTTCTCAAAAAAGGTGACAATGGTGGGTTATAAGGTTTCGATATCCAGTTGTATCATATGAAAACGTCCAATTTTGACCACCATGTATAATAAAACAGCTAAGTTTAAATAAAATAAATAAAATACTTTCTTACCAAAGAATGTAGCAGTGGAATCAAAGGAATTCAACGGGGATGCTTTAATTTGAGCCCATCTCATCAAGTTGGAGATTAACCACGCCTCCTTCTTGTTTTTCACCCTTAAATAAATAAGGAAATAATTTAAATAAACAAAAATAATACCAAACGTTAGTTATTTCCAATTTTATTTTTTTTAACTTTAGTAGTTTGAAAAATCTTTAAAATGGGAAAAGACAGATATTGCTAAAATTGCATAAATAATAACACATACAAAAGAAGTTTTATATTGTATATAATATAAAAGTGATTTAATTTCTGTTTAAATTAAAATCCTATAAATCAATCTTTTAAAATATAAAATTTGTGTTAAATAACATTATATGTACTTTGCTTAGAAAATTAACTTTAAACATATTACTGCACAAATTTTTAATTTGATTTCAAATAATTTTTTTCTTTTATTACTAAGAAGGCACAATATTCTATACTATATAGAAGGTAAGTATATTAAAGTTACTGTCCCAGGAGGGTCGGTGGGTGTACAATTTTTATGAATTTGCAAATGTTATGTATTAAAACAATAAAAGTGTTCCTTTGAATAAGACAAATACGAACCTTGTCCTGTCTCTCCTTCTATTTGACCTCTTGTAAAGTGTAGTTTTCTTTTTGTTGTAAGTATCTCACTTTTAGGTGTCCTTGTATCAGTTTTATATTTAATAAAAGCTAGTTATTCCTAATTAGTATTTTGGCCAATACAACTTCTTAGCCATGCAATAAAGAGATCTTCTATAATTACCTAAAATTTTAACCCCAAAAATGTAGTTGGAAATACAAATTAAGTATGTAATAAAGTGAATGTTTTTGAAGGAATTTTATGTACTTGTTATTAATTTACTTACCAAGTGATTGTTCTTCTAGCTTTAGCAGTAAATTGCTTGCGATTTTTGTTGTCAAACATAATATTTCAACTAAACGAACTAAAATTGAACTTTTATAATATATATTCAAAGTACCTCTCGACACTCACATAAATTGGCTGGAAAATTGAAAACAATAATTGAAAAATTCTAAAATATTAATCCGTAAAGATTCATCTGTCCAAAGTAAATGACGAGCAGATCTGACAGAGGAAACGACGTTGCCAGTTCACGTCGTCGTTAAAAATTAACAGAAGAATGCAACCCGTATTACACCTTTAGTAGAAGATTTGGGTTTAACGAGTCATTAGATATTTAACGATCGTTGTTGCAACCCGCTGTAAATACAAAAATGTCAACGAATTTTGAGAGGGGGTAGTCACTTGCGATTTTTTAAGACAGAAAATCTCCGTTTGTGGAGATCTTTATGTAACTCCGTGGCGAACATTTGGATTTTCATAGATCTCCGTGTACATTTCTCCATATACATTTCATTCAGTTTCATATGGAATTAGATCTATGCAGTGTAAAA